AGTGGTATGTAACCTTCACCAGCACAAATAGAACACGAAAAAATTTAATTGGATAAAATATTTCTTAATGCAAGAGAGATAAAACAAAAAAAGTGAATGTTGATATTTCTTCTAGCTATAATAAAATTCGAGATAAAATTCGAGATAAAATTTATATCAATGTTGACACATACTCTCATCGACATGTATACCTATTATACTCTTCATATAGTCATTATAGTTCACGTAAGAAAATTGCTCATATGTGGGAACACAAAAATATGTATATGAAGTAAAATTAATAAGATAAACAAAAGAAAAAAAACATATACTTGTGTGAAATAAAGCCAGAACCTACAAAGATACACATAGCTGAAAATAACTAACTGCAGTATGGTCATATTCAACGTTGACGTTTTGTTTGTGCTACAGAAATCATGACCCCTTTTCTAAAAATAATCCAGAATTTCATATTGAAAAGGATCTTGAATCTTGAAGAATAAAGCTTCTATTAAAGTAAACTAATATTAGCTTGTCATTAATTGCAAGATAGTTTAGTTTAAACATCGCTTTACTAACATAAACGATATATTTGTACTTTATAATGTTCCTTTAACAGACCCGTTCGACAAAATCAAAAACATACTAAGCAATATTGATCTTTTTGATAATCGTGAGAAAGAGATACAAAAGAGTTATAATCTTATGCAATCGAAGCGTTAACTGAAGATATCAATATCCGAAGAATATAATCTGAAGTATGATATAAATATCGAATAAAATTCTGATCTGATATTTAAACGCGATTAAGACATCTCGTATCTAAGGAACAACAAAAAATAATACTCGATAAAACTCACAACACTAATGAAAATCTCCGCATAAATTATATTCGTGAAATGTAAAATACATGCACTTGAAAGAAAAAAAACAAATCGATTAATACTTTAAGATATACACAGATAACACTATTACTTTTATGATAATACTAAACTTGAATAAGATCTTATTAACTAGAGAATATTTCTTTCTTTAATTCGCATTTCAAATGTACATAGTTCTTTATCAACTATACATACATTGTATGGCAAACCTACCGTTAAACGATATGTTAAATTTGTCATAGAGGCTTCTCGAATTACTATGATTAATCCTGCTCTCTATAATATTTATTCTAACATATTGTTTTAGGACAAAACAATAATAGGTTACAAAAACAAGTTTACTGTCATATCTTATAACGAGACCTACAAATAAGTTAACCAGAAGCCAACGAAATAATTGATTAATGAATATTTCATATACACGAAAAAGCTCTTTATATAAAAAACATTTGTTCAATTTTCGTCCATTTATGAATCACTGAAAAGCATTAAGGGTAATCAAATAGTATGAGAAATTTATATTCTTTTCGAATATATGCACTTAGGTCTTCTTGACATAAGGCTGTATAATGCTATGTAAATAAATGCATACAACAAAAATAATAATTGTAACAGACATTGTCGTATGATACGTTCTTCGTCCTAACGTGCCTGGTGCTCCATTCTGCTGTGCTCTTCAGTACTCTCAAAGAAAAGCAAGGCGACCTGTAAGATATAAATTGAGTTCGATTATCGAATGAATTGGCAAACTAATAAATAATTCTCATCATTATATTTACATCATTTCAGAAAAATATTAATCGTTTACAGGCATGCATTTAACTCAAATCTTCAGGTTCGATCTGGTATGAACAAAAAAGTTTGACGCCAATAGACATTTTCTTATTTCCTTCTTTTTCTTCTCAATGTTTCTGTTATAAAGGATTCAAATACAGGCAAAAATCTTGTGCCATATACGGCCAAGCGATCTTCTCTTCTGTATGTTGTACTTAATTGAATCAAGTAAAAGCATAGATACAATCTGTTCTAACATTCTTTCTTGAATGTGTTTTTTTACAGATATGATAGTTATTGGTGCGTCACAAGAAATCTTAGAAGTAAAAAGATAATTGTTCTATCGAACTTTTCGGTGCGAACATCAAACGGGAGTTCGGATTGAGAGCTTTTATAACAATATGCAAGAAAATGGCAATAGATACATTTAAGATTGATTAAATTGGTAGTATTCCTATGCAAATATAATCTAATTTTAGACTTATGTTTTTTTTCAAATCTTGTCAATGGATCAGGAAGCTTTTTCAAACATCTTAACAGTAAAGTAAATCTAAATTAACAACTGAAAAAATCAGATTATAATCAAGCAACAATAGCATTATTTCAATTTATTCTTGACAAAAAAACAATTATTTTTAGTTCAATATCTTATCATTTTTTTTGCATGAGTGCATAACACTACGTAGTAGAATATTTATACAATAACAAGATATTTGTCAAAGAAATCGGGCATTTTTTTAGATCGAATATCGTCATTCATTTTAGTCAAAAGATTTTGTCATTATTTAGCAAATAGTGACAATTCATTTTTTTATTGTTTGTTATACTGATTTTGATGTGATACGAGAGATTGTATCTCCTTGAAATAGAAATGGTTCACATTGAATGATAATGATTCAAAATAAGTATAACGACCGTAGGTTCTAACGAAATTGAGCGAAAACATAGAATTATCAATAGTTGATAGAATTGCATAGATGACTAAGGAGTAAAGTACAACTCCAGTATTTCACTAGTACTTCACTTGTATTTTACCTATACTTCATCGTACTTTGAAGTGCTGCAGTCATGCTTTTTTCCTACTTGCTAATAACACAGGTTCCAGAAGAGTCATGTTTACATTTAGAAAACACTATTAGATGACCTTTTATGAAAAAAAAGTTAGCAGATTCTATTGACGGTACTCATAGGCAAATACACATTACTTTTGAGTATTCATCATTCTTATTCGTGCCGAAATCTGAGTATGACAATCAAACATTCATCTGTTAATAATGAACACTCTGACTGAATGATCCTATATAGTAGTCTCTATTTTTTACTGACCAATGTAAAGCGTTTGTAGATGTATATTCGTGCACGTACTAGTAGTATTACATTCGTTGTATTGAAAAATAAAACCAATGATAAAAAGATGGAGTAATATAATGAGAACTATTTGCATTATTTTCCCTTCATTTTTCAAATATAAATAACACAGATTAACTGTCCATCTTTAAAAAAATTCAAAAACGTATTGAGAACAGTACAAAATGAGCAAAAAGAAATCTATAATAAATTAATTAGGAAAGCTTATGAATGCAGTAATGAATAAATGTATAAACTTGTGTATTACGAAAAAAAGAAACTAATAATTAGTTTTCAATTGATAACTATCTTTCATCATTAGTTTATAACAAAACTTAAATTATTCGTCCATAGTATTAGGTGTCAGTGTTATCATAATTCGTAATCGCAATCGATGCAGAGCAAAAGTTATTAGCTGTCTTTTTGTTTCATTGATTTTCACAGACATTCTGAAACTTAGGGATTGTAATGAGAAACGATATTTTATCAAAATTACAGAAAATGATATTTAACGAATTATTATTTATACGTTTGGTCAAATATTCAATTTCATTTAGCAAGTCAAAAGTTGAAAATAAAGTCAGTTTTTTCTTCTGTTCAAGTCGCTATTGATTAAAATACGTACTATGAATAACCATCAGAAAAGAATAGAGAAAGTAATGGATAAGTTCTTAGAACAGATTTTTTCTATTTTCTATTCAGTTACATAATTATTCGCTATTATATTACTTCAATCTTCCTCGGAAAAAAAATCCTTCTTCTATTGCATTTTTGCACCACTTAATACATTTTGTTTTAAAAACAAAATATATCAAAAGATGCAGCGCGAAAAGAACTACAATTTACAAAGTAAAGCTTATTTTAATTGTGTACTTTTTGTTTTCAAAAAAAGCAAAATTCTGTGCGACCAATTTTTGACGATGCGAAAAATTCATTTTTTTCTACGCGAACGAGAAATTCCGTTTTCCTTATTTTATCTTTTTATTAACTAATATGTTTTTGTAAAAAAAAATAAAACATACCACAAGATACAGCGTGCAAAGCTCTACCGTTTACATAGAACAGTTTATTGAAATAAGAAAAAAGGAATTTCTCATTGGTGTAGAAAATGATTCTTTCGCAGCGTGGAAAATTGGTCGCACAGAATTTTGCTTTTTTTTAAAACAAAAAGTACACAATTAATATAAACTTTACTTTGTAGATTGTAGATCTTTTCACGCTGCATCGTGTGATGCATTTTGTTTTTTTTGAAAAAGCACATTATCGGTGATAAAAAGATGAGATAAGAAAAAATGATTTTTTTCTCCGCGTCGAAAATTGGTCACACAGAATTTTGCTTTTTTTGAAAACAAAAAAGTACACAATTAAAAATAAGCTTTACTTTGTAAATTGTAGTTCTTTTCGCGCTGCATCTTTTGATATATTTTGTTCTTAAAACAAAATGTATTAAGTGGTGCAAAAATGTAATAGAAAAAAGCAACTTTTTTTGTTCGGGGAGAATATATTTTGTATGAATCAGGGCCTAAGTGGTCTCGTAAATATTTTGCAAAGAAACCAGTTTGAATACTCATGCTTTCACTTGTTAGTAAATCTTTAAGAAAAAACTCATGCAAGTACACAAAATGGTACATAGACTAGAGTCTGCTGGGTCAGGTTATGAAAATTTTCTGTTAGCCACGTCCGAAAACGGTTGACTAATCGTGTCGGGACTCGAGAATATTTGACGCAACGAACTCTAACATATACATAATATTGATTTTTTCGAAGTTCTATATTTAGAATGTAATAGTACTATGCGTGTCTTTATTTCCATATGTAAAAACATGAGTAGACTTTATCTAATAGTGTGAAAGACTTTTAAATCATAAATAAATAGTTATGCTGGCTTCGTTTTCTTTTCACTGTTGAATGATTTTGATAAAGCTCATTCTAATATAACTCCAATGTAGAATAATTTTATTTTGTGAGAGAGAAAAAAAATATTTTGTCCAAATCTAATCTTTTTGTAATTTTTCTTCAAAGTTGGATGAGACCACGATTGATCATTGCTTTCATACTCCAACCGTTTCTCGAACCATCATCATTATAAAATTTCCATGTCGAATGTGTCCATCCACCAGTTGCTCCTTGAAATGCAGCAATTTGTGCTTGAGCATATAAACGTAAATCACTATCATTAAAACTAGCTGATGATGCATGCAATCGACCATTCACCAATAAATTACCAATTACCTGCCCATGCTAATATATCATTTTTCAATTCATTTTGAGCATAGCTGATTAACCTATCACTAGTCCAACCCTAAATATATTCATTACAATTATGCATCAGACAATGAGAAAAGAAACAATTGTTTATTTTACTTCAAATCCCCAAATTTGATAACGATGCCATTCATGTCGAATACCATGAAATTGTGGTGGAGGCATAAAGCGAGCCCAATCACTATTATATGGTCCTTGCTGGTATAGTAATGGTGTCACAGTTAATAAACAATCTGAAAACTGACGAATACGACCATAAGCATCATGATAATACTGTTTTAAAACTCCTTCATCTGTTGATCCTACAAAGAAAAAGAAAGACAGTGAGACAGATGATTTCTGTAGAAACAAATAAATCTGATTTTCGATATTCACCTGCAGGTTCATTGAGTAAGTCAATACCTAAAAATGCTACATCATTAGCATAATATCGTCTTGCTAACCATTTAACAGCATCTAATTTATTTCAAACATTTTCTGAATAGGCTGACCAATATGAATGACCTGGATCTTGAGGCGAACTATGATCATAACCATTTTGACTACCTTTAGCTGCATGGAGTGAAATTAATACAAGTGAATTATATTTTGGTGCCCATTCACGAATAGCTCGATCTAAATAGTTGATTGCACCAGGTGCATACATTTTCCATCCATCTGGATCACTACCAGGTTGATTATCGAAACCAGTAATCCAATAACCAACAGGAATACGAACTGTATTCATTTTAGCTGCAGCGATATCACGAAAATCTTGCTCTGTTATAAATGTATCACGATGTTGTTTGAATTGACTGTCACCTTTAGCATGACCTAATGATATATATATATGTTATATAGAACAAATATAAAAGTAATGAATTTAAATAACTCTACCAAGATATTGCATAGTTTTGAATTCACCAAGATTAACAATATTTGCTGGAACACCATTCCAAGCAGGTGAAGCTGATGTCATCCAATGTTCAGCGACCAGTCATCCACCAAGGTTAACACCACGCATTGGCACACGTCTAGCTTTTATATCATTTTTTAATGTGATAAGTGTGCTTTAGAATGAACAAAAAGAAAATAGTATCCGGCTAAATTCTTTTTTTCTTCAAAATATTCACCTTTGTGCTGCAATAAGCCAAATTTTTATGGTAAAAAAAATTAGGCATGAAGAAATATTGACTCTCCTTGCCATTGTGACGGTTGCGTTTTTCTTTCTAAATGATTGTATCTGTAGATAGTCTTTGAATTTTTATATTATTACATATGAGTTTGTGATTTAGCGAATGCATCGGCTAATATCTTTTAGATTAAAAATACCATATGTAGGAAAGAAAAGAAAAATAAGGATTAGTTCTTCCATAGAAAATCTTAATTACGAATCTCTTATTCTTTCTGTTCTCACAATATTCTTTGATTAAAGTACGAAAGTCATTTTTTCAATGACCTAGAATCGTGTCCAGGTTGAATAAAACATTAATTTTATCTCGATGAGATCGGTAGCATATGTTTTCTTTAATATCACTATAAATCCGTTAAATGTACTTTGATATTTATTCTTGTGAATTTCTAAATATGTTCTGCTGTTTCCAGTCAACAAGACGTTAAGAAAAAATAAAACTTGTTGAAATGTGATTAAAATGCGATTCAGAAGAATTCTTAACGCGTGACGATGCATTAGAGACTTCTGGACGGGCTAAACCACATAAGATTTTTCTAAGTTTACGCGTTTTCATCCGTTCTCAACATGAATTTCGCAAGTTTCATTGCCTTCCATGGATAAAACGCGTGTCATTACGGAAAGCCAAGCTCAAAAACACATTTTGCGCATATTTTTGGAACCAGTATTGTTATGTTCAATAATCACTCGTCACTTTTGTTTTTTTCAAGGAATTCAACACAATAAAATAAAAAGTATAACATGTGTCGCACTTTATAACACAATTTGCAACTGTTGTAAGTTGATCAAATTGGATATTGTTTAAGGTTCGTATTCTGCCAGTAGAAAATGAAAAAATGGCAACTTTATGACAGTCAACTAACCGTATTTTCTCTTAATCTCGGACGCAATAATACGGTACCTATACCATACCGTATTTTCACCGTAAACGGCCATATATGAACCATTTTTTTACCTGAGGTGATTCGAATCCTTTCTTCAGCGCATTTGTCATTTATTCGCCAGAAGTGAATATTTACTATTTTTTTCAGTTTAATTCAAATTCATGATAGCTACCCTAAAAGACTCAAGACGACCAGATCTTTAGATCTAACCATTTCAAGTTCATTTAATCTCTATCAGACTGCTTCAAAGTAGTCTTTTCTCGACCCTCAATCAATTTTTCAACATTTTCTCGACCAATAACGAATCGAGAACTAATCTAGAAAATAGAAGACAAACGAAAATATATAAGTTCATCAGGTTCAATTGAGTTGTTTATACGTAGAAGTTTGCCCAAAACAAAACAGTGAATACATAATTAGCAGACAGACCTCGACACATTCTGACTGTAACACATTTTCGTGGTGAAGTCGACGATACTATAACGAACGACACATTCTATTTTAGTATGAGCCTGTTTAAACCAATTCGTTTCTTGAAATTATGTTAAAAGCATAAGAATCTGCAATTGATTTGTTTGGCGGTCGGGTTTTCCTAGAACTATTGAAGTTCTTAATTTTTCGTTCAGCATGACTAAGTGACGAAGGTTGAAGAAGATTATATGCTTAAAAGTTGATAAAAAATAAATCTAGAATATTATATATTAGTGTTTAGTATTGCTAAAAGAGAAAAACAATTTTGACAATAATACAACAAAAAAGTAAGTACATTTGTGAAGCACTTTGTAAAGAGGAAAAAACATGTATTGACTAAACAAGAATGATTGAAAAGTGTAACGACCTTTCTTCTCTAGTACGGCGCTTTTCTATAATGTTAACAACTGAATTCGAATAATACACATTAAATGATATTGTCGACTAATCATATGCATAATAGCCTTTCTTTTCCCGATGAGTGAATGAAGAGTTTTACAGCATACTCGAAATAACACTTTCCATGTAGACAAGCGAAGAAAAATATAAATTCATTATGAAGAGATAAAAATTTAAAAAAACACTCTTTTGTGAGTTTTGTTTGTCTGACCTCTGTTGACAATGTGTTTTAAGTGTTCGTGAGCCGTGATCTTTATAAAATCATAAAATGCGTCGAATATCCTGATTTTGAATACTTTTGATTATTATCGCATTATCATCTTGAGAAAACATTTTAAGCCCACAAAAAAAAGTGATTTAAATGATCCAGTCGTTTATAACCATATTGAAATGCATTTTTCGTTTTTCTCCGCAGTTTTTATCAACTTTATTTGTTCATCTCTATATTGGATTCTGCATTATTTCAGTTAACTATCTCGTTCGTCTCCGTGATTCGCCCAGTCAATCATATATTCGTTATATGATAATGCCATTTTTCTCCTTCTCTGATATCAGCCACCGATTCTTTCTTCGTAGATTTTTCATTTCTATTCAGTACCTAATTTGACATGTTTTCTCCTGCAAATTATTGCATTTTTCCTTCGTATAGTCTATTAAGAGCTGTTATAGTCGATAGATCGGTGCTCTCAGATGAGCGACTGAATATAGGTCAGTCTTTAAATTTTAACGTTTTCATTGCAAATCTGAAGTCTGATTAGACAACTTAGTTATATTTGAAGTGGTGTTTTGCTATCTAGAACAATATAGAATTGTCTTTTTTAGATTTTCTGTTTATGTCAGCAGAAATAAGGAAAAAATGAACAGTATTCGTCTGGATATTATTGATAATTTTTTATTATATATACGATATTTTATAAATTTCTAATCCATTTCAATCCTTTATATTTTTCCAGTATTTATATAGTGGGACATTGATTGAGGATATATATTTAAACATTAATATTAATATTATTATCCAAAATGTATTGAACTCAACTTCCATTATTAATAAGATAGCACTGCATTGAAAATCATCTTCGAAATAATTTCATTAGATTGACTTTTGTATTCTTTTACATTATATATTTTTTATCTGAAGTATATAAAAACTGACGTTCGAACCTAGTTTAACATTCAACTGAATAAAATACGTCTGCTGAAATTATTTTTATATTTAATAAATGTTTTCCGGCAATGCACGTTTTTACTGATGATAGCAATTCAATGAATAAAATTTGGGTGATTGCCTAGGTGTAGTTTTCGTTTTATCGGAAATGGTTCATACACTGTATTTTATAATTCTACTTGAGGCATACCAAAAGTAATGAGATCTTCAGGAAAAAAACACAGAAAAAATTATTCAAGATTTCATTTGATCGGATGTTCGAAGTCATTTCTCTGGTGATTTACACATGATTACGTTAGTTCAAGTCAGAGCTTCGACGAAAATATTTGTGCTTCAAAACGAATACTTTTGTCCTGATACTTAAAATACGACAAGCAGGACTTTGTACTCTTTCCTTGAAGTATACATAAGTAGATAGGATAATTTTCGTCAATATTGATGACTAGGTCTTATAGATTTTTTAAAGACCACCGCAATATCTTCTGATGAACAAATAATGAAAGTAAAATTATTTTAGTCAAAATTTTTACTCTAATACGCTGATAGCTTTCCTGTATGCTTCCTACAAAAGCTATCTGTCTTCATTGTTCGAATTTCTTTAAAAATGATGCTGGACACCTAAAAATGATGATACTCGTTTTACTTCGTTATCAGTGTATCAGAGTAAAAGTCTTCATTACAAGATTTTTATTGGCGCGTTTTGCTTCTCAGAAAATATTACCGTGGCCTTTAAAAACCTATCAGACCTAGTCAATCTTATTTGCGAAATTTATTCTATTTATATCACAAGTAAAAAGTACAAAGTCCTGTTTTTCGTACTTAAGTATAAATACAAAAGCATTCGTTTTAAAAAATACAAGTATAGGTACCAAGTACTTTTCTCAAAGTACAAGTATAAAACTTCAATTTGCGGTACTCATACTTGTTCTACCTCTGGTTCAAGTCATTTATCAAAAGTTGTTTTTATTGTTATCTTTCTTGAGCAAGTTCATGCTCTTGCTTACGGCAAACTGCAAGGATTGTGAATTGCTTTGATCGGTTAGATTCTGTTTGATCAGATCGAATAACCATAAAACAAGTGGTATCAGATCTGGAGAATCTGGTGCTTGTCAATTTATTATGATACCATTAGATTAGAGATGGTTTGAAACACCTTTATGAACATGTGGCTTGACATTGTCGTGGTGAAAGGTTTGGACATATGTACCCGATGCTAGTCTTTTCGTTCAAATTTCTTTGCTGCAGAACACCAAGTAATTGTTCATGTAATAGTAATAGTCAATAGTTTCTTCTTGTTCAATATAATGAATTAGCACGACACCAGTCGTTTTAAAAAAGACACAAAACGATTTTCGAAGCAAAACGACTACACCGAGTCACATTTGATAAAAGTTCACGGGTTGTTGTCTAAGTAGTATTCGATTATAATCGATCAATTCGTTCATGATAAAACTATGACTTATCACCTGCCACTACATCACATAATTGTCATGGTAATTCCTCGAGTTTCCCCAAATTTTTTCGACCGAGCCGAAGGAATTCTGCTTGTTGGCTATCAGTCAAGAACTTGGATACTTAAAGCACAGTTATTGTTTTTCAGCTCTGGATATTCAGAAATAATTCATTCAATGGTGGTACGACTCATGCCGGTTTCCACTTGTATTTCATCAATAATATGATGAACATCATTATTAATAAGGTATCGAATTTCTTCAATCTTTTCAGATGCCATCTTGATTACAGGTTAACCAAGTCGTGGCTGATCTTCGATCAATTCTCCACCTTCACGAAATAATTTTGGTCATCTAGCAACTCTATTGTGGGGCGAAGCCTAGTAGTCGAAAACAGAATACAATTCATTAGAACTC